TATACTATACTATACTATACTATACTATACTATACTATACTATACTATACTATACTATACTATACTATACTATACTATACTATACTATACTATACTATACTATACTATACTATACTATACTATTTTAATGGACGATGACAGTGAATTTAGGCTAACTTCGAAAGTGACCATTTAGCTGAACTTGTCTTCACAACATCTGTTCAGATAAAAGCTTATAAAGTAATAATAATTATATAAAGGAATTTATTTGTTTATACGTTTTGATGCTGTTCTTATACATTTAGGTATTGTTCTCATATTACATGCATTATGCATTTATTCCTGCTGGTAATCAAGTTTTAAAATATATTATCGTTAGCCAATAATGTTTTTTTCATAAACACACTGAAAAGGTGAAATAGTTATAATTTAATTAAGCACATAATTTCATCATGGAATAACATTGATGTGTTATTCGGTTCATCAAGCTGACTGTTCTATCAATCAAAACAAGATTCTCACTTTCAAAACAGTCAGAATATACAAACAGTGTGTATGCTTTTGTTGGGTTCGAAAATTGAACACCTGCATGGCAATGTTTTGGTGGGCATTTTTCAATGTAGTACCACTGTGATGCATTGACCAATCAATGCAGGGATATATTCATAGAGGCAGAACTCGTGGGGATTGGAAACCTTGGTAAAAGCCACTGTGACATCATAGAAGCCCAGTGAAAGTCGCTGAACTTGTACAGAAACCTAGTGAAAGTCGCTGTGAGTTCCTAGAATCCAAATGCAAGTCACTGTGTCTCCCTTTTGGAGTCCCAGTGGTTCTCTAAATGATGTACATTTACTTTGCATAACATACTCAATAAAATGTACACAATAAACAGAAACAAAGCACTGTGTCAGTCCAGATACTGACTATGGTGGTGTCAGGGCAACATGGCAGTAAAACAAAGCACTGTGTCAGTCCAGATACTGACTATGGTGGTGTCAGGGCAACATGACAGTAAACCAAAGCACTGTGGCAGTCCAGATACTGACTATGTGGTGTCAAGGCAACATGGCAGTAAAACAAAACACTGTGTCAGTCCAGATACTGACTATGGTGGTGTCAGGGCAACATGGCAGTAAAACAAAGCACTGTGTCAGTCCAGATACTGACTATGGTGGTGTCAAGGCAACATGACAGTAAAACAAAACACTGTCAGTCCAGATACTGACTATGGTGGTGTCAGGGCAACATGGCAGTAAACCAAAGAACTGTGTCAGTCCAGATGCTGACTATGGTGGTGTCAAGGCAACATGGCAGTAAAACAAAACACTGTCAGTCCAGATACTGACTATGGTGGTGTCAGGGCAGCATGGCAGTAAAACAAAGCACTGT